TTCCAGGAGATCACATCGTGGTGCAGTATTGAATTGAACAGGTGCTGCACTTGTTCAAGATCCCCCTGCTGCATGTAGATCACGAGAATCAATTTGCAGGACACCACATCTCGCTCGGGCATTGAATCGAACAGCTGCTGGGCTTCATCGTGATTGCCAGTCGGCGAGAACAATGAGATCACTGACTTCCGTGACATGAGATCCCGCCGCTTCATCTAGCAACCGAAGATGGTCTTGGCCTTGTCCACCAGGATTGTGTTTCAGAGCGCGGTGCTCACCAGAGGAGTGAAATTGAAGATAGCTTGCGCTCGATCGACATTGCTAAGCTCGCTGTGAGCGGAAGATCAGAGAACTCACAGACACAATATCTCCTCCTCGATCGATCCATTGTGAGCAAATCCCACAATGAGAGTGTTCCACGACACTAGATTCTTCTCTGCGAAGATCTCTCTCGCTTTTTGCAAATCCCCCGCTTGGGCATTTGCGTTAATCATAGCAGTCCAGGTAACTACAATCTATCTGGGCATTCTTGCAAAAACATTATCGGCGTCTATCAAACAATCGTTTTTGGCATACACCTCTAACATTGCGAAGAGATCACATCTCTCTCGTCCATGGTATCAAAGAGAAGCTTCAATTCTTAAGCATACCCGTTCTGGGAATATGCTGTAAGCATCGCGGGGAGAAGCAGCCTTCAATTTCCTGCCTTGCTCTCCCTCCATGATCGCCCTCACTTTCTCTTCCACCTCTTCTCTCGGCGCAAATCCATCCTTCCCTCCAGATCTCGAGAATGCTATTCCCTCCAGCACCAGCTTGGCATTCGGTTTTGCTCGAACATAGATGGCCACCCCAGCATTGGCACTCCACACGCCAAGCTCTCGAGCATGGAGTTCCATCCCCCTGTTGATGCGTACTGCGTGATCTCTAGCTGCGGCTCCCACCTCACGAACAATCCTCTAGAAACTTTTGTAGAACTCCTAGAGCAAAGTTTGATCGTATCACCCAGAGGAAAGGAACCTTGCCTGCCTCATGGCTAGGCGAGCGTGATCGTGGCTCGGCCCTCTCGTTTGGAAGCATCTTCATCATGACTGCCAGCAATTCGAGAAGACAAGGGAGTTCTCAGGCTAACCTTTTTTCAATCCAGTTCTTCTTTAAGTTCGCTGCTTGTCTGGAGATCAAACTCTTAGCTTAAAGTGTATCCATCTCTAACATTGGTGAATATCGGCTGTGTTGAAAAATGTAAGGCTCAAAAGCATGGTGTATGAACTGTCATCGCTCGCCATAAATGGATGATGATTAGACCAAGAAACAAAGAAGAAACTTTTCAAAGAGGAGGTTTTGATGGATCGTTTGAGATACCAGCACTCATGGGCTGAACTGGACATTGTTCTTTCTTCTACGTTTTGTCTAAGATGTGTGAAATAGACGTGTTTTTAACATAAATTTGATTTAAGGTAAGTTATATGTACGAAAGTAAGGATTAAATGCGAAATAACCATAACTTTAAGGCAATATATAAATTTAAGTTAGGATGTGTGAATGGACCAATCTCCTTCGCATCATCCAAGAGCCCAGCTCTTGCAACACCAATCAAGCAAGTGATCTTGCTCGGGACTTAGATTGTATTCAGAAACCATTGGAGCCAAGGAGTCTCTAGCAGGGATTACCAGCCCAAGGTGGCAGCAAGCGATCAAAAGGCCCATGAAACTCTTGAATCCTTCCAGATTCAAGACTTTAAAGAGCTGAATGGATACAGATTCTGGGCAAACTACATGACAAGAACGTTCCTGGTCATGATGTTTGCTGTAAACAGCATCTAAACAATGTCCAAGCGTCGTCCTAAGTGTCCATTTTGCCCCTACGCTCCGACCATGCAATTCTTTTAGAACTTCTATAGTGCCAAACAAGCACTTTGCCTTGCGTACATACCTGTTTCGGCATATGCAGTGATCATAGCATTCCATGCTAAGAAAACTGTCCACGAGACAAGGTTTCTTTGAGGCATTAAATCAAAGAGATTGTGTAATTGATTGGTTTCACCTCACTGGGCGTCTGGTCAGAGCATTGCAGTCCACGCTATAACACGAATGTTTCTTTTGCTATATCACTGCAGCCATGCTGCGCAAATGAGTTGGTAAGTGTTCCCCATGACACGGAAGCTCTCTGCGTCATCCTCGCAAAGAACTTTCTTGCTTCATTAAGATCTCCAAACTGGGGTCGTGCAACAATCATAGAGTTCCATAAAACTGGATTGATGATCTCTTTCCATCCTGTCGAACAGCTTCTTTGCTTCGAGAAAATCTCAAACGCATTCCACAACACAGAATCTCTCTTGGACATGTTGTCAAATTGGTTTCTAGCCTCGCTGATCATTCCAGCTTTCGCGAATCCAGTGACAGAAGCAAACAAGGCAGCGTCATGCAAACTACGTCCCAAGCCTTGCGACGTACATTTGCCAGTTTTGGGCATTTGCCAAAAGAATCGCATTCCATGTCACTACATTCTTCCCGGGCACGGAATAAAAAACGTGTGAAGCTGACGATTGTGAATGTAAGCTTGGAGCAGGATTTTCCATGAAAAGGAGTCTGGGGCAAGAACGTGGAACTCCTCTGGGCGGAGGATGATCACAGGAGCTTGTATGGCAGTGGGTGGGATGCAGGGTGAGAGTGGCAGTGTGGTGGGATTTTGAGATCCCCGCTCCAATTTTGCAAAGAGCTCTATGGTGTAGACCAAGACTTCTGGCTTGAATCCTCAAACCTTTCAGAGCATACAAGATTGCATTGGGATTTCTCTCCACCATTTGCCATCGTGTAAATTCTCTTGATTTTTTCTCTTTGCTAGATTTTCATGGATCAATCATTGTGATTTTTGTTTCTCTTCCAGTTTGGCCTCCGATCGAACTCTCATGATGGATTTGGTGCTGTGGACTGTCCATCATCTGCCACCAGCGCATCTCTTCGTCGTCTCCATGGGGCTGCATGAAAGCTATCTCGTTTGGTTTGATCCTCTCGAGCTGCATGGTTTTTAGCAGCTCCAGAGCTTGGTGAGGATGGCCATTGAGATTAAACGCCGAGAGCATCGAGTTCCCAGTGACGATGTTTCGTCTCTTTGTGGGCATGGAATCAAACACTTGCTTTGCACGAAATGCTTGCCCGTTTTGGGCATATGCAGTGATCATAGCGTTCCAAGCCATTTCATCCTTATCAAGGATTAAATAAAAGATATTCCTTGTCTTCTCGACAAGACCTTGTGCGCAAACGCTTGCAGCATTGTAGTTTGAGCGACCACGTCCTTCTCAGGCATGAGAGTCCTCTCGGCATTTTCAATTTCTCCAGCTTTGGCATACGCAGTGATCATCGCAGTGTAGACGTGAATTTTTGGGTTCTCCATCGCATCAAAAAAACGCTTCGCTTCTTCCAGCCGGTCGTGCGCTGCATTAGAGCACCCCAAGAAACAGGATTTCTCTCCAAACAACGCTTTTTTTCTATCCAAATTCCTTTCTGGGTAAATGCGGTAACCATCACAGTCCATGCCACTACAGTCTTCTCGGGCATTCGATGAAACATTCTCTGGGCTTGATCCAACTTCCCATCAGCTGCGTAGCATCGTATCAGGATGACCAACAACTCTGCTCTAGGAGTTCTACAAAGGTTTCTAGAGGATTGTTCGTGAGCTTGGAGCCGCAGCTAGAGATCATGCAGCACGCATCAACAGGGGGATGGAACTCCATGCTCGAGAGCCGTTGCCGTGTGGAGTGCCAATGCTGGGGTGGCCTTCTATGTTCGAGCAAATCACGAACCAAGCTGGTGCTGGAAGGCGAGGGCGTGGGAATATAATTCTCGAGATCTGGAGGGAAGGATGGATTTGCGCCGAGAGAAGAGGTGGAAGAGAAGTGAGGGCGATCATGGAGGGAGAGCAAGGCAGGAGATTGAAGGCTGCTTCTCCCGGAGGTTCTTCTCATACGAACCTTAAGAAATTCGTGGAGAGTCTCGTCTCATTCATTCATAAAAGTTTAAATCACTATTGGTTTTCGATCGCTCCTAATCCCTAGAACGCGATGCTTACACCATATACCCAGAACGGGTATGTTTAAGTATTGAAGCTTCTCTTTGATACCATGGACGAGAGAGATGTGATCTCTTGGCCCAAAATGTTATAGGCGTACTCTTAAAGCGATAGTTTGATAGATGCCGATAATGTTTTCGGAAACATTCTCAGATAGAATGTAGTTACCTAGACTGCTATGGTTCACGCGAATGCCTAAGCCAGGCATCTGGAAACAGAAAGACAGATCTTCGACACGATGATAGAGAAGAATTAAGTGTTGTGGAACACTCTCATTGCGAGATTTTCTCACAATGGATCGATCAAGGAGGCGATATCGTGTCTGTGAGTTCTCTGATCTTCCGCTCACAGCGAGCTTGGCAATGTCGATCGAGCACAAGCTATCATCGATTCCACTCCTCTGGTGAGCACTGCACTCTGAAACATGATCCAGACAAGGCCAAGACCATCTTCAGTCGCTAGATGAAGCAGCGGGATCTCGTGTTGCGGAACTTGATGATCTCGGCGTTCTTGCTGAGCGGCAATCACAACAAAGCCCAGCGGCTGTTCGATTCAATGCCCGAGCGAGACGTGGTGTCCTGCAAATTGATCCTCGTGATCTACATGCAGCAGGGGGATCTGGAACGAGCGCAGCACCTGTTAGATTCAATGCCGTGCCACACTGCGATTTCCTGGAACTCCATGATCGTGGGGCTCTCACAAATCTCTCTCGAGCAGAGAAAATCTTCAGCGAGATCTCCCAGTGCGTTCTCTCCTGAAAACGTCCAAGAGAACTCTCACTCAGTAGCTATTGCACCAATCGAGTGCCTTCTCCTAGAGCTCCCACTTTCGCCACCTTCTGAATTCTCGTCAAGAGAGCTTGTCATGAGGAGCCTAGTCATGATCACTCACTGCTCCATTGTTTGTCATATCGATTGCAGCTCTAGCCAAGCAACCTAATGATGATGCAGCCAGTGTGAAACTGATTCGATCATTCGCCTCGTCTGACGCCTTCTCTTTCTCCGCCCAAGGAAAGAAAAAAAAAGGAATATGCTCTTTTTCTCAAATTGCCATTTCCTTCGAGTGTGATCATTCAATCTCTCGAAACTTCCTTTTTTAGAATTCTTCATGAGCATCAGGTTGTGCGGTCCTTTTCGAGGCTTGAAAGAGACAAAGGTGGTCGCAGTGATCGAAGCGAGAAATCTATTAAATCGAATGCCAGAGTGGAATGCCGTGTGCTTGGCAACTGTACCAGTGCTATGCCCGAGCAGGGAATCTATTCCTGGCAAAGCAACTCTTCGATTCAAGGCCCGCGAAGAACATCGTCGCATGGTCTGTGATGGTGTGCTGACCAAAACAGGATTGAGGAGGCGAAGCATCTGTTTGGCATAATGCCCGAGAGAAACAGCGTGGTGGGGAATGCGATGCTAGCAGCATTTACCCAAGCAGGGCATTTGCATGACGCAGTGAAAGTCTTCGATCGAATGCCCGAACAGGATGGAATTGAAGACCTCTCGGGCTACTCACAGCTTGAGATTTCATGCGTAAGCCACCATCGTAGTTGTGGAAGAATTCCATGCAGGAGCGCGATCTTGTTGCCTGGAGCGTGATCATCCTGCATATGCCCAGATCGCGGATGTTGCTGTGGCGCTTAAGCTCTTCGATCGAATGCCCGCGCGGGACATGTTCGATTATCGCGGCTATTGCTCAGTACGGTCAAAGCGCAGCAGCGATGGAGGGCAAGCCCAATGCCGGGGTGTTCGTTGCTCTTCCAGAAAGATCGAGGAGTGCTGGCAGCGTGTCTGGATCGCTCTCATGGCGCTGACGAGCAGCAAGGAGATCAAGCGAGGGGACATGAACAAGCTTTACGAGCTTTGGGACGCGGCTTCTAAGCAGCAAAGTTTCTATCTCGTGATATCTTTGAGGGATGCTCGTTTTGATGGAGTTTTACCCGCCTCTTCTCCAAGGTAAAATGATTCTTCAATCATTCGCAGGAGTTTTACGAGACTAAAGCAGCGGCGGATGGTTCTTCCAGCGTTGTTCGTGTTGTCTGGGGGAAAACATTGCTACGACAGTTTCGGCTCATCATGACTGGAGGAAATTGTAGCTGCGGAGCTCTTGGTAAGCTTTGAGCTTTCCTTTTACGTAGAAGTTTTTCTATGATAATTGTCAGCGAGGTCTAATGGTTGCTGCTTTGGTAGATTGGAGACGAGTCTTTGGTAAGTGTTCTAAGCTTTCTTTGGTGTTTGCTCAGGTACTTCCATTCTTTTGCTAACAGGTTTGCCACTGGTATGTATGTTTCATTTTTCCTTTGTATATTTTCTTTGGGTTGGGGCTATTGTCTATAGCGTGGAAGTCGGGCGTTACAGAGAAACAAAACGAGCTCGGAGAGGTACCGAAGCTTTGGTCGTTCATTTCTAACTTCGTTCCCCCAGGTTGAGAGAAACTAGCATGGAAAATCGGGAATTCGAAAACTTTTCACGACTTCCGTTCTCTGGCTGAGCAAATTCAAACCTGCCAGTCGTTTATCTGTGTGATCCAGTAATCTTAAGACACAAGTAATCGTCTCCATACAACTTTACAAGACAAGACCAATTTCATACCAAAAACTTCGATTCGTTTGATGCTCTAGCAAAATTACATGAGAACGAACAAGAGCTCGAGGAATCTCGTTCTCAGGGCATTGAGAGGAGAAGGCAGGAAAGCTCCAAGCTTTGAGCTTTAGAGAAAGAGGAGGAGGAGGGGAAAGGCACGAGCACTTCTATCCCCCAAAGATCCGACGAAGGGAAACAAAGGGAGGGGAAAGACACGATCATTCCTTTCCCCAAAAGCTCCGATGAAGAGAAACAAAGAGAAGAGGAAGGGAAAGGCACGATCATTTCTTTCCCCCAAAGACGAGCCCAGCTCCGATGAAGAGTCCGGCCACAGCGAGTCCAAGGCCTACGTTGGAGGCAGCATTCTCCAAAGACGATCCGAGAGTGGTCGCGGCCTCTTTCACTGCTTCCGAGCCGGATTTGGAGCTTTCCTTGACCCCATCACTGACCGCTTCGGCCCCGACGCGCACCACTTTCTCCACAGAGCTTGCTCCAGCTTGAAAGATCCGCTCCATGCTCTCTCCAGCCTTGTTCATTGTCTGGCCGATCACCTGGCTTCCCAAGATCACGCTCTCTCCCACACATGATGCGAGCTTAGGAGCCCCGTAGTACATGGCAACTCCAGCGCCAGCAACACCAGCAACACCAGCAACTCGCAAAGCAAAAGACTTCCAACTACCTCCCGCGATCTTCCATAGCGCCATGCTTCTAAGTTCCCAGGCGTAAAACCCTAAAACTCTGGTTTCAAGTAGCAAGAATATTCGATTGCCTGTCCAAAGGATCACGATTCGCGGCTCGAGGACGCCGACCTGGTAAGTCGCCATAGATGGGATTTGCATTGGAATGTAGCTAGAGATTTTTCACGGTGTATGGCCAGACTAGCGGCAATTTGCACGCCGGCAAACTATAACACCCGGCCGCTCTACAGTCTCTATTGACGCATTGCCAGTGGTAAGTCTGTGGTTTTTTCTTTTAGAGAAGAGATTTCCTTTTGAGAACTTCAGTGACTGAGAGATATTGCTTGGACAACAACAATTTTTCTAGGCATGGAAAGTTTGCCCGAGGACAGGAAGACATGTCTTTAGTTTCTCTTCGTCTAACTTCACCTTTCTTGTATCGGGGTGACAGGACGTGGTTATGGAGGACGAGTGTGATTGAGAAGCAGCGGTGTGCAAAGCAGCTGATCAACGAGAGATGTTTGCACCAAAAAGAAAGCTCTCTTTTTTGTGTTTGGAATCGACGCTGACTTACCAGCACGGTGAAGCAACTAATGTCCAAGTCCCCCTCCCCACCGCCTAGGAGCAAGTTTTGGCTTTGTCATCGCAAAGAGAAGAAGAAGAGCGAACAAAAGTGAGCGCAGTTGGATATTCCTGGCTGTGGTCGTGTAAAACAGAGAAGGGACCGAAGAGGACGAGCTCCATAAATGGAGCTCATCTGCTCTGATCCAATGAGACCCAGTTCTTCCTGGAAAGAAGCAATATTCTTTTCCATCGAGTGCGTCGTCGTTTCCAGGGTCGCAAGCGAGATTGATCAACTCGAACCGGGAATGGTAACTCTTCTCTTTCGATCCTAAGTATGGAGGGAGAGATTTATGAGTTCTTGATGGCTCCACAAGCAGTCAGTCAGTCAAAAGACGCTCTCGAGCAAAACCGAGACCGAGGACCGGGTCAAAGTTAATCGTGCGCACTCCAGCCCTTGATCGCTGGGTAGAGGATCGGTGTGATCGGCTTCTTTATCTTTGGACGAGCACCTTCCATTCCCCTTGCAAATTTCAGCATCGCGGCACTCTCCTGGCTGATGAGGATGTGCATTTGGACGAAGAAATCCGGACAATTGCGCTGGGGGCAAATTCACAAAGGGTGGCAAGTCTTTATTCCGGCAGCGCTTAATTGCTACAGGTTGCATGTAGCAACATTTAGTTTGTTAAATAGTAGTGTTATTATTACTTATTAATTCAATTGATCAAATAAAGATTATAATTATAAGTATGTTTGTAAACAAGATTAATAAATAAAAATAATATATAAGAAAAGGTTTCAGAAAGTTTATAAATTATAAACATGCTTATAAATTATAAATACAAAATTAATCGAAATGAATAACAACCTTTAGCTGGTAGAATATCCTAGAATATTCAAGAATATTGTAGGTATATCCACTCAGTGTTTGCTTAAGCAAACCAAAAAGGAATAGCATTAGTATATCTTTTGGGTGGCATTCATTTAAATTAATTTTTTTAATAATTTATAAATTTTCCTAAACACCTCCTGATTAGAGCATTAAGAAAACCACGTTCTTCAATTTATTTTTTCTCCGCTAGCGAAGAAAGAGTCGACAAAAACAGGAGACGAAGATGGTGAGGATCTGTTTCTAGTTTAACTTGATGTTTTTGACCCTTGATCGACTCTCAGAATTCTTGAGCTATCGAATCCTTCCACGTGGGAGCTCATACCTTTTCTTTTCTTGTATATAAGTCCTAGTCCAGTTGCTAGGGCAGAGAAGGGTGAAGAATGGCGATGGCAGCAGCGAGGGTGGCGATGGTATTCTTGGTGCTTGTCGCGGCGCAGGCGTGCGGCCGTGATTACTGCTCTCTCCGCCAGGCGCGCGGCTGCGGCAACAGCACGGTTGAGGTAGAGCACGCTATGAGCGCGCACAAGTGCTTCATAGCCGACACGGTTGTAGCTGCCACGCTCACAGATGTGCGCCGCCTCCCCAACTCGTATCTCATCCTTTTGGAGATGCCGGGCGTGACGAGCAGCAGCGATGTCAAGGTGGCGGTCTCGGGCTCTCAATTCCATCGAGTCGTGTCTATCGTTGGGATCTCTCACGAGGCGAAAGAGCGTCGCATCCTCAGGGATCGTGGTGCCTTCACCAAGATGTTTGCGCGAGAGTTTGTGCTCCCCGATGCAGTGGACGCGGAAAGGATAAGCTACCAGCTTCACAGTGGTCTCTTGCGGGTGACGCTGCCGCTTGTCCCAGGGCTGGAGCAAACAGGGCGAGAGCAGCGACAACAAGTTGTGGAGGAGGAGGAGTACCTTGCGGTGCCTGCCGCGCGTGTTCCTCCGGCCTCGTGCACCATTTCAGACGCGGCCGGGCTCATTCGGCCTGAAGCTCTCGCCTCCAACGACGCAGATGATTGTGGTGACGACTCAAGCGTCGTCACCATCTCTCCATTGGTGGACATCTTGGATCGTCCAGGCTCGTATGTGGTCGTCGCGGAGATGCCAGGCGCGCAGTTGGCCACCGTGGACATCGCTTGGGTGGAGGACAAGTCGGGCTTTGTGCTCGAGATCACTGGCGTTGCTCGAGACGAAGATGATGGCGGAGAAGCGGTGAGAGTGGAGCGGGGCGGAGCGAGCACCAAAGTGTTTGCTCGCAGGCTTTACTTCCCCCGCGGTGTCGTGCAGGATGTGGCAACATATCATCTCAGTGATGGGCTTCTCAAGGTGACGCTACCCAAACATGTTCCAAGCCTCGGGCAAAGGATAGCGGGCCTATGGAATAAAGCGTTAGAGCATTTCATATGCCAAGGTGTTCAGTTTGGGAGGATGAGGGCGAAGTATTGTTTCAGGTAAATATGTAGACACAGTATACGCTGTAAAACCTTCATCATAATCAAGAATCAAAATCACATTTAAATTGCTGCTTCTTAGTTTTATAAAAGTTATTTGTTGAAGTTTATTATTGCAGACCTCATAAATGTTTACAGCTTGCTCTTCGAATATGCTTCCAGGATTTCTTCTCGATGATGAGAGAACTTTCGAGGCCATGGCCAACAGGAACCCGGCTATCTCGCTCTTCCAGTCGATGCAGCTCGAGGGAGAGAGGTCTATCAGATGAGATCCGACTGATCCAACCTCTTCTACTGCATGGTCGATTCTTCGCAAGAGCCGGGCAGCAGCAAGACGCCCGACAGCTGAGCTTGGCGTGGCAAACACTCCTCGGATCATGCAAAGTGATATCCAGCTCGCCAAGCACGCTGCAAACCAGGCATCAGTCATAAGTCCGGAGATGTGCTGCTGTCCAATATCTGTGGCACGAATCGAAAAGGAAGAGGCTGTCACTGCTGCTGCAGCTCTTCCTTGAGGACTCTTCCTATTCTCTCGGACATGTGTTTCTCGAGAAATCTCTCCTGGACGCGCTTGTAGCCGCAAAGAGACATACATACCAGTGGCAAAGCGAGGTAAAATTTGGAACCAAGAAAGGTGAGAAAACACTTGCAAAAAGACTTTAAGTACCTGAGCAAACACCAAAGAAAGCTTAAAACACTTGCATGATCAGAGCTCCAGAAGCTTCTGAATGCCTCATCGCCATAAGATGAAAGTCTCATCTCCAATCTACTAAAGCAGACCTCGTTGACAATTATCATAGAAAAGCTGCTACGTAAAAGGAAAGCTCAACGCTTACCAAGAGCTGCGCTGTTACAATTTCCTCCAGCAAAGGTCGTGATCTTCCGAAACTGTCATAGCAATGTTTTCCCAAGACAACACGAACAACACGCCGCTGCTTTAGTCTCGTAAAACTCCTGCGAATGATTGAAGCTCAAGAATCATTTTACCTTGGAGAATTGGAGCTGCGTAAGACTCCATCAAAACGAGCATCTCATCAAACATATCCCGTGTCCCGAAGCTCGTAAATCTTGTCCATGTCCCCTCGCTTGTTGCTCGTCAGCGCCATGAGAGCGCACGGGAACGTTGCTTCCCGCTCCTCGATCTTTGGCAGCGCTTAGAACAGCGGCATTAGGCATTTAAATACCCTGGTTAAGAGGTTACATATGCCGGTGGAGCAAACTTCACTCCCCAAAATGTACATTTATGTCTATGAACATTTCCTATCCCAGTTAACTACTTAATTTCCGTGAAATAATATCTCGACCTCACCCATCTGTTACTCCTCCTCCACAACTTGTTCTCGCTGCTCTTGCTGCTCCAGCCCTGGGACAAGCGGCAGCGTCACCCGCAAGAGACCACTGCGAAGCTGGTAGCTTATCCTCTCCGCGTCCACTGCATCGGGGAGCACAAACTCTCGCGCAAACATCTTGGTGAAGGCGCCACGATCCCTGAGGATGCGACGCTCTTTCGCCTCGTGAGAGATCCCAACGATGGACACGACTCGATGGAATTGAGAGCCCGAGACCGCCACCTTGACATCGCTGCTGCTCGTCACGCCCGGCATCTCCAAAAGGATGAGATACGAGTTGGGGAGGCGGCGCACATCTGTGAGCGTGGCAGCTACAACCGTATCGGCTATGAAGCACTTGTGCGCGCTCATAGCATGCTCGACCTCAACAGTGCCGTTCCCGCAGCCGCGCGCCTGGCGGAGAGAGCAGTAATCACGTCCGCATGCCTGCGTCACGACAAGCACCAAGAATACTATCGCCGCCCTCGCTGCCGCCCGTTTACCCATTGCCATCCTTCTCTTCCCTTCCCTAGAATTATATACAACATAAGAAAAGGGAACGACGATTTAAGGAAATAAACACCTTTATCAGTGTTTTTTTTCAGTTATTTTTTGTTTATTCTTTTTCTTTCTTAGGGCTATTCCAGTGTGAGCATGTTCTTGACATAGTCGGTGAGAGTCGTCGCTCTCATACTCCATGCGATGGTCCCATACACTAAGATCCAATCGATGAGCCACTTCACCGGCCCGGGCCACACCTTCCGTACATCTGGACGAGCGGGTTGGCGAGGTAGCGATTGGGCCAGTGGTCATTGCTTCGTACACGTTGGTCCCATCGTCAAGGTCTGTATAACGTCAAACAAGTCAAATGGGAGATTTCAGGCAGGAGTTGTTATGCAATCTCGTTTTTTCTCTCGAGCATGCATTGCATAGCCTGTGATCATCGTGGGCCAGGAGATGTTCTTTGTGGGATTTGCATCAAAGAGATGCTAACTGGATCACACAGATACCATATAGTCTTATCTACTGCTTCTTTCCATCTAATTGCGACAAGAGGGAAGGGATCTAAGAAGAAGGACCTCTTCCAATGCCCGTGCTTTTGCGCATATCTTTTAGGGAACGGAAATTGAAGTTACCTTTAGCTGATATGGTTTAAGAAACGAATTTGTTTGATCAATTGCTAAGTGAATTATGGTGCTATGGACATTGTATGCACAAGGACTAGATTTTAAAGAAGCACACCATTCCTTTATTATACCGCAGCGTAGCCCAAGTCCACGTTTCCAAAGGCAACAGAAAACACTGTGGCTGCACGAATATTCCGCGCAAATATGCCTCTCCTTTATTCTCTACTAAACTGGGCATTAGTTGCTGCATCAGTCAGCATCGATTCCAAAACTTGGGTTCCCAATCTGGATCAAACACAAAAAGGACTCAAATCAGTCAAAGCAGACGCAATTGATTGAAGGAAACTAGATCGAAAAAAGGAAAGACGTTAAGAACTCGAGGACTCGGAAAAAGAAAAAGACAATCGAGTTGTCTCTTGTGATTGTCATGTCTGGAATGTTCATCATATCACACTGCTTTGAGCTCACGTCACGGTCCTGTGTGTGCTGTGGCACCGATGAGAAGTACGAACATAAGGATTGCTGGCCCGATAACTTATCTTCCCGTGTTCCCGCTGTTCTTCTCGAGCGTGATCCTCGCTCCAGGCTACTATCCTGGGCGGAAAGAAATGCGTTTACTTCAATCGCGCTGCCGATCAATCCATCGGAAATGCGCATCCTCACCACCACATGGTGTTGCTGCCTGGATGCAAGGGGACAATGCTGAAGTTTGCAAGGGGACTGGAAGGTGCATCGTGCAAAGATAAAGAAACCAATCACCAATTCCTCTTATAGCGATCAAGAGCGTCAGGGGGCTCCCAGAGGTGGCAAGCTTACCTCAAGCGACGCATTCTCTCTCTTGTCAGGCTCACGGCAACTTTGGCATCTGGCCAGATAAAAAATGTGCCTTCTTCATTCTTTCTCTGTTCTTTAGATGGGCTTCGCTACCACCAGAGGTCTGCGGATTGTCCAGGTAAGCGCCGAGAAAGGAATTTTTGTTTCTATATAATCGGCTTTTAGCTTTCGTCTGTGTTCTTGTGTTTGTCGTCCCGGCAGTGGCTTTCAAGGACGTGAGCGATGCACTTGCCGTCGCAAAGGGCTGCGCTTCATGTTCCAGGAGTAAATTGATCTTTAAGCGCGTGAATAAAACTGCCTGATTAGAAAAAGTATGGTCTAATTAGTGTTGAAAGAGCGCCATCAATCCCATTTTTCTAATCATATGGAGCATGGTTTTCATGCTGTTGGTGATGGTGGATTCTTTTTTAGTTTAGGAACTGGATCTGGCCAGAACGGGCTGGAAATAACAGAGTTACAATTATCAATCACTTAATAGTATTTATATCCACTATAAATATTTTGAAATCAAATAAATATGGCAATGATTATGTATGAGAGTATTATATATTTACACATGTACGAATATATATATTTGTTTAAAGTTGTATGCAAAAATATTATGCGTGTTTGTGTGCATAATATTTTTGTTATGGGATATGCTATATATCCATGAGTATAACTCTAGTTTTTTTTTCATCATACTAAGTGTAATTTTTTATTTTTTAATTGTGAGAATCTCTCTCCTCTGCATGCATCTCTCAATTATTATGGCTTGAATGCATATTTCAATTGCAACATGCCCTAATGTATAGAATCTGTGCTAGTCCAGGCGATTTTTTATAAGATGCTAGTTAATCTTGTGTGATATGGGGCATCCTTGATTGGTCTTTTCTTCTTTGTAGCAAAGAATCTCCTTTCCAAGATGATCTGAAGAAAGGCTGATGGTTGATTAGGTTTTACATCAAGCTTTGTAGCAGCAGTAGTAAAATTTATACGCTGTGGAAGAGGCTTTGTGGTGTGAAGAAAAGTGCTCCCAACCTTTGAGAATGACTTCGTGAAGAGGTTCAAAGCAAATACTAACAATCAATTTGGCATATTTGTCCTATTTATAGTTACTAACTTTATTTGCTTGGTTTTTTTTGTATCTCCAGACATCGACATTTCTTATGTCTCTGGCTCTTCGGGTGGGTGTTGAGAACAATCATGGATAAAAACAAACTGGATATATGCCAAACCAATGTCACAAAAAGTTATATTGCTTTTCTCTGATAAAATTCATTTAAAAAACTGTACTTCCTACGAAGTCACCCAACCCGATGACCAACTTAAATTCACAAAAATGACTTTTTTGGAAGAAATTCTTAGAAAAACTTCTAAACAACAGCATGCCAAGTTCTTGATGAGCGGCACATACACTCAGGTACAGGGTAACCGAGCACATCCCTAGTTGGTTTCTCCATTCTAAGCTGGGGTCTTCCATTGGCCTCAGAGTGGAGCCTCTTGATCTCATCATTTATCTCTTCCTCGCGCATGGAGCTTGAATTGAGAAACAGCTGGATCAAATCTCTCTTTTGTGGCGTGATGTACTTGCGATGACCAACGTATGCTCGATGACCCTGGCAGTCAAGAGAAATTTTGTGAGATCATGTTTTTGAAGAACTTTGGAGAGAACTAAAACCTTGTTTTTGCTTACCCGGAGAGCGTGGCCCATGTTTCCACCATGGGAGGGGATGAAGACATCACTGTTGAGGGTGATGATATAATCAATCGCGGCCAAGCTCGAAGCTTTTTCCCTGAATGGCTCCATCTCCCATGGCTCAGCAATGGAGAATTTGTCGTAGAGAAGCGGGAACTCTGCCCTCAGTGGCTCCAGCGATTTAGATCCTCCAAATGCCTCTCCTCCAGCCCAGAATACCCGAGTCCTTGAATTCGCCCCCAGTGCTCTCAATGTCCTGCCATCGCAATTGATCGATCAATTGAAATCGTACTTTTCCTATTACCTTGCGATCTCATGCGCAGTGAGGGGACAGAGTCCCTGCTTACGTCGCTCCTCGAAAGTCATGTTGGATCGCGAGGTGAGCAATTGGGGGCTTTTGATCCTGGCGATCCGGATTTCTTCGTCCAATTCAGCGCTCAATCCCGGCAGGCATCCAGTTCTCACCCACACATCCTTCTCCAGCCTCAAATGGAGCGCCACGAAAGGCCCTTCTTCCCACATCCTCCTCGCGAGCTTCTCCCCGAGAGCTTGCAGCGACGGCGCGAATCTCAGCGCATGGAATGCCGCCTAAAAGGTTTCAAATTTAAAGCTCCCGCCAGAATTCTCGTTTCTAGGGTTAGGGCTCTTACCTTGCATTTGAGCTTCTGGAGGTCGGACGGGAGATCATGGGAAAGGCGCGAGTCCATTCCGCGTAGCAGCAGCACGCCGTCGCGGCGGAGCTGGAAAATGTCGATCGGTAAACATCCAAGCATCGATTTCTTGGCTTGAATTTGGCCTACCTTTCGGGTGTAGTGCGATTTAATCCAGTCAGGGCTTGCGTGTAGCGGCATATTGCTCTCCACCGCTGGCCTCGCCACGACGTGCGTAGATGGGAGCGACGAGACGATCCTGATGTCGTCTCTCAAGATCCTCTTGAAGTGCTCCACATCGAATATCTCCGAGAATTCGCTGCGATGGAAAAGCTTCTTTGGTGGGAAATTTTGTCAAAGATTTTTTGCTAGCGCCTACCTCTCATCGCCCCAAATCTGGTTGACTTGCAGCACTGGAATCACAAGCGCGGCCTCGAGAATCCTGGCGATGAGCACGGCGTCGACGATCTGGTTCCTCTGTTGATTCAATCCTCCGTTCACGACCACCATGAGATACTTCCTCCTCTGCCGGATGATCGCGCTAGATGCCTGAGCATATTCCTTGCTGATCTCCAGGCACGGTCGGTACCCGAGATCGTTGGGCTGCTTCCAAAACTCCCTCTCCGAATCGCTCAAGTTCTTGGGCAATTCGTGCGGCTTGAGAGGGAGGATCATCAGCGGCAATTGCTGCTGAGGCCGCCGGTGGCTCGCGAGATCGAGGTTGAGGTTCTCCGTGATCAATCGCCGGTGAATTCCATAGATGGTTCTTACCGTTTGACATGGATTTTTGAGGAGGTTTCCCGGATGCCAGATGACGACCGACTTGATCATGGTCAAGAGCGTGAAGCTGACGATGAGGAAGAGCCACAGCGTGGTGCTTTGAATCCTTCTCCACAACCGGGAGTTCCTGCTGTGCCGAATTGCCGCGGCTTTGAGCTTCTTCGGGGAGGTGATGAATTCATCCACCTGTGGAGCGGCGATTGAGATCAGACTTGGCATGGTGAGCGAGACAAATTCCTCTCTTCTTTCGATTTTCCTGCTCTCTTTTCCTCCTTTTCAGATCATCCAGCTTTTGAAAAGCTCCTCATTCTTTTCGTCCTGTTCCAGATTTTTGGGCGTCAAAAGGAAAGCCACAGCTTTGCAGAGCAGCCGAAAGAGTGCTCGAGGAAACACGGCGCGAATTCCGCGTCCCTGGCGAGTTTTGAATGCTGGATCCTTTGGTGGGCGATCTGGAATGCGGGATCGAAGCTCGAATTCCAGCGAATTCCCCAAGAACAAGGAGAAGAGAAGGAGAAGGAGAAGCTAGCTTGGATTTCCAAGGCACTCACTCTTCTACTCGCTCACCATCATTCCTCTCAGGTCAGCTAGCGCCTTCCTTCCATCGCAATTCTTCCTCCTTTCCTTCTAATTACTACTCCTCTGTACCAGTGACGACTACTACTACCGCCTCCACCAACAGGCGCAATCGCGAGCGAGAAATCTTCAAACTTGTGATGGTGTGGATGGGCGATGGCGTCGCGATCGCGTGGATCGTCGCTTGGGCCCAATTGGCCAACCTCCAGAAGGGATCTCTCCTCCCAATTCATCGCGTTTTTCTAATCCTCCCTTCTAGGCTCCTCCCTCCCCTTCTCTCTCTGCTCATGCCCATGTCCATTTCGCTGGCCATTCCACGCCGGAATGTCCAGCGTCTCCGCGTAAAACCTCTCGTTTTCCCCCATTTCCCGCCGGACGGAATGTTCGTCTGCTGACACCCCAGTGTGACGGAATGTCCGCCGCCGGACCTTTACCACTTTTACCGCCGGGTAACACAAACGGCCAAACGTGGCCTGACACTTAAACCACCGGGCAAACGACGCTACCCAGGACGTCATGACAGGCAGAACGTCCACATTGGTGACGTGCGCCCCAAATGGGCCAGTTCTCCCAACTCCACCACCGGCAAAAAAAAAGTTTAGGGCTCTTGGTGAGATCTCACACTCAGCAGCTGGTATGGTGTGCCCTAGACACCTAGAAACACACTTGCCTTTGCTATGCTCGCCAACTTTCTAGAAGAGGGCCAAGCCAAACAGTAGTTCGCGGAATCTATTATTTGAGATCATTCCATGCCTTTTGATTTGGGCCATTTTGGTTGGCGCGGTGGTTTTGGGGTTTAAAATTCAATCATGGAGCCACATCACCAACCATAGCTGCCAATGCAATCACGTATATGACAGATTGGCATTGGGTGGCATGGAGGCACGAAGGGTTGGCCTGTAGCTCCACGACAAGGTTAAAAAAATGGAAGGTACGTTCTCCTCTCGATTGTCAAGGTATCGATGGTGACGACGTAGCCGAATCCAGAGAAGACTCTCTCGTGACCGTTGATTTTAAAACCCTAGTTAGGGCACACATGGAGCTCGAATTTTAGGGTTTAAGCAAGATGGAGAGGTAAGCGCGACCGCGATGGCGCTGCGATTGCTCTCTACTCTGTCCGGCGCCTCCAGGGTGAGGATCCACAATGCCGGGTGGATCTCTAGGGCGGGGATGTGTTCCTTGGCCAGCATGGAGGAGCGGCTGCGAGCTGTGGTGGACGGGCTCGGAAGTTTTCTCCACTCGGAGAGGAAAATGCCGGCGGAGGTAGCGCAGGCGATCGCGGGCAATGCGTCGACTTTCGCGAGACAGGTGTTGGATTCCTTCGAGAGCGCGCATGGGCAGAATTCCAGCGCTGAGATTATAGCGGAGAAGATCCAGGGCCACCTCGCGAAGATGAGAGTCGACAAAGTCTTGCTCTTCTACGAGAGCATTGGGATGGAGTTGCCGGGAGATGGTGATCCGGAGAAGATGGCCGTGATGAGGACTAGATACCAGCACGTCGTCGCTGTGACGGCGTTCTTGGAAGAGCTCAAGGTGGAGAGGAAGACCGTGGGAAATCTTCTCGAGAAGAACAAGTTCTTGTTCGAGGCAAACACGTCCGAGGTTTTCAATCTCTTCCAGTACTTGCATACAAACGGTGTGGTGGCCGAGGGACTCCAGGTGCTGTGCTCGCGCTATCCCGGGATTTTCACTCCATCCATCAAGGACCACTGGGAGCCATTCTTGCAAGTTTTACGTGACTTTGAGATCCAGGAGCCCGCGATGAGACGACTCATCAAGCATTTTGGTTTTTTGCTACTGGAGCTTCCGAAGATCGACTACATCACGACGCTGGATTATCTCCAGCTGGATCTGAATCTGGAGAAGCCTGAGATCTCGAGAATTCTCAAGAGCCACCCGGAGGCTTTACTTCTCGACTTCAACAAAACGATGAAGTCCAAAGTCAAGTTTTTGAGAAGCCACAAGGTCCACCCGGCGGATATAGCTCGTATCTTTGCACGGTGTCCGAGCATAGTCGGCTACAGCGTTGACAGCCTCTCCGAGAAGATCGGCTATCTCCAAGGACTGGGACTGAGGCCGTGGAACGTGAGGCAGATATTGGTTGCTTTCCCGGCTATTCTGGCGCACAGCGTTGAGAACAAGATGAAGCCTACGGTGGCGTTTCTGGAAGGTGCCGGGATCACGGGAGAGAAACTCTCGAAGCTGATTGTCAAAAGGCCGGCCATCTTCGCGATTGACAACAAGGAGAAGCTTCCGAGGCTGTTGAAAAATATAGCGTACCTGGGGCCGGATGGAATGGTGCTGGCTTTGTGCTGGGGTGTCGCGGAAGGCATCAGGCACATGAAATCGCGCCTCAAGTACCTGCAAAGCCTGGGATTTAGTGGCGAGGATTTGGTAAAGATGATATCCAGGGACCCGCGGATCCTGAAGATAAGCAAGGATGGACTGGAGACCAAAGTGAAGTATCTTACGGAGGTAATGGGATTATCACCGCAGGCGCTGCTGGGAAACCCGACTTTCCTCTACAGCCACTTTGAGCGGAGGATAAAACTCCGTTACGAGGTTCTCAAGCTGCTCCACGACAGAGGCGAGCTCTCGCGCGAGCCGCAGCTTTCGCAGATGCTGTACATGGACAACAAGGAGTTTATGGCGCGCTACGTGAATCCATATCGGCCCTGCGTGACTTTGGCGAAGAAGCACTATCGGATGTTCCAGAGGAAACCAGACGGCGACCACCTGTTCATGATGAAGTACCTTGACGAGCAAAAGGAGTCGCCGCTGCCGGAGGGCACCTCGAGACCGTGACAAGCGGAACAAAACGCAGACGACCGGGTTTAAAGCAGTGTAAGCAGTCACAGGTACGATCTGCTTAGATTTGTGAGATGATCCATACTGAGGCTTGTACGTAACTGGCGCTGCAGGATTGACGCAATATGCTAGCTTTACAGCAGCACCACTAAAGCAGTGGAAAACTCCACTAGGGAGTAGAAGCTGTGTTGTTGGATGCCCAAGGAACCAGACGTCTTCATCATGCAGGTGATGATGCTGAGCACCGAGTGGGGACAGGTTCTTGCCAAAAGCTGTAGTTTTCATAGAATGCCACTGAACGGTAAAAGAAAAAAGGGAGAAGCAAAAACGCAAAGCTGTCTCGAGGTTTGCAGTCGTTTTCCATTTCTTTTTTTTAAAAAAATTGTGGTGTGTTTTTCTTTTCGGTTTTTTTTTTCTTCTATGCAGCGACGAGGAGCACGCACATTCAAGAGATTTGGACAGTGGCATCGGGTAGTAGTAGAATTGCTGGAAAATGCTGTGATCAATGTCTTTCTGCTGAGCAGCCATTGTTTGTGGCTGGTATGTGTGTCAGGGGAAAGAAAGAGGATGGCATTTACAACAGGCTTTCGACTGGGGTTCGCTGCTGCGACTGAGCCACTGCTGCTGCTACTGCTGCCGCTGCTAAGTTTTCGAAATAAAGCCAAGTAAGTACCAGCGTGATATTGAGATGGCTCTGGAGCTCCTCTCCTCTCCGTTGCTAATCCAAAAAAATATAGTTTTGCTGATTTGCTTTCCGGTGGCCGCTGAGACCAACGCGATACTGTAGCTGGAGATGACACAAAGACGTCCTCCTGGTTCGTGTTTTTATAGTTTTTTATTCTCTTATCATCCTTGTTGTGTGTGTTTTAATATCTTTTTCTCCCTGTGGGCATGTAGCTGGGCCTTGGACAGACTGCGAGAACTAGGAAGTGGGCTGTTCCAACTCCTTATTTTATCATCGCGAGACAGGAAAGCATAGTCTATTCATTTCCATTCCGGCTAATATTCCTCCACATCTGGCTCCAGGAGAAGTTTGTTCCGTCGACTTTCTTTCCCCGGCTTGGGCTTCAGGTATGTAGCAACCGATTTTACTGTGGAAGTTCCTCCTCTCCAGTACTGATCGTTGCCTCGTTTGCTTGAATTTGTAACTAGGTGCTGTCGAGTGGAACGCAAGATACACTTGGTCCTCCACCAACACGCTTGTGGTGTGATCTTCCCTGTCATGCATGCGGTTTGCATTGACAGCCCCCGAGCGTTTGCTTTCAAAGCCAGCCGGGAAAACAAACAAGAGCTGGATTCTACTGGGAGGTATTCTTGTCAACGTCTTACCTGTGTAGAGTAGCTAACAAAGTTGTGGCAGGGAAAGTGAGAGAGAGAGAGAGAGAGAAGGAAAAAATCAATTTTGATCGCGGAGGTTTGATTTGTGTACCAATGTTAAGCTCAGTCTAATCTTTGCACTGCGTTTGATCGACGAATCGCGAGTGGGGTCGTCCGTGGAAGAAAACGACGCTTTGGAGATAGGATTCGTCCTTTGGCCCCGAATATACTGCCCGGTCATACACGTAGCGGGGTTGCGACCGTTGATGGCAAGACCATCACATGGACCGGACCACCACGTGGCGTGTACCGGGTGGCGAATGGGTGCATGACGCGTGTCGTTGTGGATCCACGTGTCAATGACATTTCTTTGCCCCTCTTTTTACTACTTTGGTTTTAACTCCCACTGTGTGGGTGTGTGTGTTTTTGCCCTCGCCCTTTGCCATCTTCTTTCTTTCTTTGCCGGGGCGCGCACGCCAGCGGCCGCGTCGTCAAGATCCTCGCCTTCTTGCCACGATCTCGCGCTCCACTCCATCGATTCATCCAGCGATCCCTCGAATTGGCTGCTTGGTTCTCTGCAGATCCGCGGAATTTGGCAGCGGGCTCGCGGTCGCCGCGGGAACCATCGGCCATAGCTGGGAGAGCAGCTCCTCCTCTCCCGGCGAGGAGCGAAGAATCGCGAGTGAGAGGAGGTCACTGCAGTCACAGGGAGGGTAATATCGATTGATCGATAGATCGATATTTCGCGCAGATTCACCGCGGCGAGGGCTAGATCGCAGCGTGCAAGAGCTCCGCGCCATGGTGGCTGGGGCGATGAGCCTCGCCCCAAATGCCAAGAACAGGTTGAATCAATCGGCGAGTATAAGCAGCCTGGGCGAGGGAGAAGCAAAGAGGCGCGATCCCTGTCGTGGTCATGGCAGGAAGGATAGCTTTGGCGCCAGCGACGATCGCCATTCTCGCGATCTAGAAGAGCAAGAACAAGAATGCTGCATGTGTGGCGATGTCGGTTTCTCCAGCGAGCTCTTCCGTTGTAGGAAATGCGTCTACCGATTCCAGCACACGTATGGGTTTGATTCATTCTCATTCTTCTTGCGTGAGAATTGTTCTTCCTCCAATTGTTTTTTGGTTCTTCTTCCATTCTTGAGTGATAGATTCCTTGTGCGTGAATTTTTCCTCTTGTGACTAGTGTATTGACGCGTTCTTCTTGTTGGTCTTCTTTACCGATTACCAGGTACTGCAGCCGATTCTATCCAGGCAGTCCCAGCCAAGATATCTGCGATTGGTGCTCTCAGGATCCAAATCCCTCCACTGGCAGTAGCAGCGCTGGTACCTCGAGCACCAAATTGAGAGGAGTGTTAAAACTCGGTGGCAGCAGCATTATCGGTGGTGGTGGCGGCGCTAGCAAAAGGAAGGTTGCCGGCCAGCTTATAGGTGAATCGTTGAGTCCAGCAACAGGAGCTACGAATTGGCCCAGGAAGGATGAAAGCGATCGTGATACCAGAACCAAGCTCCAAGGCAGCAATGACACTGGAAAGAAGCGCGACGAGGATGCGATGATAAGAAACTCCACTGGCGCTGGCAGCCCCAGGAGCTCGATCAAGCATGGCCACAAGGATGCGCTGGAGCTGCTGCTCGAGGTGGCCCAGACAGTGGCGGCAGATAATGGAGCCATGGATCAGACGATCATGGGTGGGGATGCCATCAAGAATCCACTTGCGGGGCAGTGCTCCATCGATCGCCCGTCCAGCTCCGGGCGGCTCCAAGTTGCAGTAACGACGAGCTCGAGCTCTCCCTCGCCCAAGAGGCAAAAGATGGCCACCACTACGCCTGGGCAAGCTGGTATAAGAGGCGATCATCATCACCCTCATCATTATCATGACAATGATCATCATCACCACCAGCAGAAGCAGCAGCAGCAACAGCAACAGCAACAGCAGCATCATGGCTTCAAGAATCTGATCAAAGGTCACCATGGCGGCCTGAGAAAAGATAAGCTGCAGCACTTGAGCAGTAACAGGAGCATTGGCAGGCGATACAAGCTACTGTCTGATGTTATGTGCTAGATCATGCAGCCAGGGCAGGGAACCAAGATCTTCCACACCAATCAAGATCGAAGTTGCTGGAAGCTTATGATCAAGCATAAGATCCTGGGTCTAGATTTAGAATTGTGTCAACCAGACAAGACTTAGAGGAGTGCAGCAATGCTACATGAGGATTGTGCATCTCCTCAAGTTTGCTGCCAGTGGGAGAGCTGTAGAGATTGATGTGAATGCATGGCTTTCCACTGGAAGAAGAACAAGGATCATCAAGCTTGGGTGCTCAGGGATCCTAAGCTTTTTGTTATTTCTGTTGCTTATCCTCACCATCTTCTTGGTTTCCTTGAAAACAAGTACGAGTTATGTCTTGTGTTCCTTATGTTCTTGGTTTGGTTTTGTGCTTGTGGATGCTATGGAAATAAAAAGAATGAAAAACAGCAGGAACTCTGCAGATATGGTGGTTTCAACGTCCCGGTGGGTACCCGAGAGAGCATTGTTTTAAGAGAATTCGGCAAAATGTCTCTCGCCATCACTGCCTTCGGATTTTTCTCATGTCGTTTTGCTCTCGGCGTCAATGGACCTGCCTTGCCTCGTTTCTGAATGAAATGACAACATCAACACACACATAATTCGTGGAGCACACAAGATAATACTATACCACCCACAAAAACAGGCTCTCTTTTGTTTGTTTTCGTCCTGCTTTGGGGTCGATAACAATGAAAAGAGGACCAAATTGATAGGCCCATGTTTTCACAGTTTGTATCGGTTTCCAAGGGATCAAAATTTCTGCCACCGCTAAAACTGCCACTCGGTTTCTTGTGGTCTCGCTCCCCCACTTTGTGTCTTCCTTGAATGCAAGCTCACATAGCAACACAATTTCCAGTGGGGGAAAGAAGAAAAAAACACCAAGTGGAAGAAGAATGAAGGAATCTACTTTTTATATAGAATAGTATAATACTACAATAATTAGATTATATTTTGTTTTTTAATCTTTCTCTCGCGTGTGTGTGTGGACAGAGCGTGCTTGCTTGCCTCATTGATGGGGTCACCCCACAGAGAGAAAGAGAGTGAGAAAGAGAGGGAGAGAGGACCCAACAAAACCGGTCACCTCAAAACTTCTGACTCCACCTTTTAAATGTTCCAACTGGGACAGAAAGCTAACCTCCTCCATCCTCTCTCTCTCGTTTGTTTTGGGAGCTTCAATTGAAATCAGTTGCGTTGTGCTTGCTACTGCTGCTGATGTTGATGTCCCCCTGTTTCCTGTTCCTTCTCCTCCTCGGCCCAAAATGCCCAGTCGCGGCATTTGCATTTTTGCTTCCCCTCCCACAACTTTTGTTCTCCTTTCCTCCCCCTCTGGGACTCCGTGTCGGGTAATGTCATTCCTTTCCTGACCCACCAACGGCATTTTGCTCGTACGCAGGAGTCCAACGGGCATCTGTCCGATTTATCCAAGTTACTGAAACGTACGCTCCAAGGGAGAATCGCCATGTCGGTGTCCCCTAAACAACAATGACAGTCACTGTTTCTCAGAAAACCAGCTTTGTTCCATACCTCAACTCCTTTCTCCTTCGTCTTAAAAGAACTGGGAGGGGATCCTGCTCACTGCGAGCTGCGTGGAGCAATGGATCTTGAGCTTTGCAGGAGAAACAAAAATAACTCTGTGTACCTACGCCACGGTCAAAACACAAATCCAGATTAGTACGCGTAGGTAATTGCACCACACAACAACAGCTGTGCCTGTTGTTGCACGTCTTAACAAGGAAAGGAAAAATAAAAAAAGTCGCTGAGTAAGTACCTGGAGGAGATCACTGTCGAAGTTAAGTTCCCTCTCCCCTTGACAAGTTTTGCATCCTCCCTCGCCGAAGACAAGGCCAGGACCAGTGCCTAGAGATTTATGGCCAAATCCATCACCACTGCTCGCAGAGTCTCCAGAGGCAGAGGTCCCAGGAACCTCTCACTAGCTGGAGCACTGGCCCCGGAAGCAGCAGCCGTATCGTCTGACCCGAAAGAGTAGAATCTCAACCACCAGTTGATGCAGTAACCAGATGGAGCGGCCACAAGCGATACCAGCCCGTTGTTTTGTATGTTGAAGACGATGCTCAGGAAATCTCTTTTCACTCTCGGCCCCAGCAGCACGGCCTCCTCTTCAAGCCACCCGATGACTTTCCCCGCGATCTAATAGTAACAAAGTCAGAGACGATGACGCTGGGAAGGAGTGAAAGATGAAGGAAGCTGTTTCCTTTACCTGTGTGAGCAGGAAAAATGGAAGCTCTGAGACGCTGCACACGCAGCTTTTCATCCCAGTTGACTCTTGTCCGGACGCGCCCAACGGCATGCAGCCATCAAGCCCCTCTATCGAAAGAATCTCCTGGCGAAGAACTAGCGTGCACTGGAATGTAGCGCTGGTTTCACGAACCAACACGTTCCATTCCAGATGTTTCATTTGACCTCCATTCATGATGGCTTCCGGGATGTCGAAGTAAACATCCCAGGCCGAGACGAAAGGCCGCCATGTTGGATGAGATCGAAACCACAGCTGTGGAACTTGCAGAACCTGAAACACCAAACTTTAGCATCCATCTTCAAACAGATGTCGGTACTAGGACTTACCAGCGTGTCCAGAAGCGAAACAATCTTGTCGCCGGCGCTTCTGTGACGAGCAAGGACGGAAAAGTTCTTCAGCAGGTTCGCTGGCTCCTCCTTTCCAGTCCCAGCTCTAGGCCCAGGTGCGCTTCTTTGTACGATGCTTGCTAGCAACATTGAGTAGAATCCCTGCTGCAAATAAATTCTGAGGCTGCCTGCCAAAGGCAGCCTCTTGACGTCGACTTCTTTCAAGGTGGCATCTTTTGCAGCGTCGTCCTCTACAAGCCTGAAGAATGACGCTATCGAAGGACCCGCGCCAATATCTAGAGACGATTCGCCAATCTCATGCAGGCTCGTGGCCGACGAAGGTTGGAGAACATCCCGACACAGGCATTCAAATATCTGCAAGCGAAGATCGCTGGTGAGTTTAAAAGAAAGTTACAAGAACTTGAGGCATACCAGCTCGTCAAATATTGATAGCTGGATATTTCGGAGTCGATGGTTTGCTGAGCTTGTTCCCTCGTCAGGGTCTCGATTGTCTCGTCTCCGAGGTGGTTGCTCTAACTGCTGTTTGCTCGTGTATTCTTCTAACTCGCGACTGAGATAAACCTGTAAGGTTGTGATAGTTTTTCCAGCGGGGATTTGCACGGAGAGCAGCCCATTTGCATCCTGGTTCACTTTGATCAATGTCCACGCAGCAGTACGCGAAGAAGATATCAAGCTCGGGTCCACAGATAGAGGAAACGACAAGTCGATGAGAAAACCAGCTTTTCCTCCAGGACCCGCAGAGACACCACGCTGGCGTTTTATCTTCCAGTTTCTTTGCAAACTGAGAAAGAAAAAAGCATGTTAAAAGAACAAAACCGCAGAGAGAATGATCTTCAAGTCACAGCGTACCGCATAAGAGCTCCATAAAAGACCGATTCTCTTTCGACTTGGCGCTCCAGAGACTTGGCATTGCGCTTGAGATAACTCGCAATTTCCTGGAACAAACTATCATAAGATCTAGAACGAAAGAAACTCACAAAGCTCACCTTGTAACTCCGAGACTTTGAAGCCGTTCGCAACGCTAAATCAGCACCAGCTTCGTTTGGGAGTGGCTTGGGTTTCATCATATGGGTCACTGTGAGCGCCTCATTGCTCTCCACCTAGAGGATCGAAGAGATTAGAAAGAAAAAAATTCCATGGGAGCGAACTTACATGAGCTATGAAATCCAGTAGCGTCATAAGCTCTTCCCTTGCTTGATGGAAATGCTCGATGAGACCCTGCCACGGCCACTGCGACGCTCCATCCTTGCCGCTCTTGCTCTTCTTCGCTTCCTTCTCGTCGGGCCGCTCGAAATCCAAGCTCTGGAGTAGCGACAACGGCTTCTCGTCTTGCGAAGATTCACTACAATCAAACGATCAAGCAAAGCCCTTCCAACAGCGGACTTACGGCGGATAGAGCTCGATTCCCGACTCCTCGAGCGCGAGCACTCGCTTCAGCGGCAGCGAATCTAGCGTCACTTTCGCCATTCTTGGTTAAACCCTAGCTCTCACATTTGCGAAGAACCCTAAATTTTCGAGCTCCTATATACATTTCCCTTTAGAGCTAGTCGTCGTCCTCGTCGCGCTTCTGCCACACGAGATTCCAATTCACGCGCGCTTCGTCCCATCCCAGCACCGATCCCTCGCGCAGCGGATCCCAGCTCGTCGACACCACCGCGTACAAGATCCCAAATCCGGAGAGCCCGAACAAGAGGAAGGAGGTGATCATCGGCAAGACTTGGGGGAATTCCATCTTGAGCGCCGATTTCGCGAAGTAGTAGGCCGGGAATGCGAGGAATCCGGTCCCCAGCGGCGCTCCCACCGTCACGATCATGCGCTTGAGCATCCGATTCGTCACAACCTCTGGCACGGTATCGTCCTCCTCCTCTCCCTTGGCGGACGATACTTGCCCCAAATTCGAGGTCGTGGCGATGGAGGAAGAAGGAGAAGAGGATGATTCGTCCCTCTTCTTGCTGGAGCTGGGGAGCTCTCCAAAACCCTTGGGCGCGGATTTGAGGGCGCCACAGCGAATCGACGAGCTATAGCTCCTCCTACCTCGAGATTTCGGCCGATCGATGCTCGCAGCAGTGGCGCCAGTGTAAGAACAGGACGGAATCGAGAGGAGGAGGCACGATGACGACGCCATGGCCGGCGTCTCTCCGCGTTCTTCCTCCTAGCTATATAAGCGACAAAGAGATGAGAGAGACGAGGTTGACTAGGGCGCTTTGTTTCGATGGATCTCCTGGAAATCCCCTCCATCGCTCGCATTGGATCTGGAGGCGAGGCTGCCAGTCCATTCTTCTCGATCGATCGCAAATGCGATGGAGGAGAAAGGATCCTTGGAAGCGCCGCAGAGGTGAGAAAGTGATCTTATCCTTCGTTTCAAGGGAGTTTACTTGGAATGGCTTAGCTTATCGGATGGACGCCCCTGGTGGAAACCAAGAGAATCTCTGCCAAGGAAGGAGCTCTCGCGAGGATCGTCGTCAAGTTGGAAGGATATCAGCCTGGATGCTCCGTCAAGGATCGCATGGCTCTCTCGTAAGTGATTCCATCTTTCATCAGAGTTCTTTAATCAAGGATCGCATTGCTGATCCACCAAAGTTCTTTAGTCAAGGGTCGCGTCCGTAAGAACTTTAGATCCATCAAAGTTCTTCAGTTCTTTCATCAAAGTTCTTTAGTCAAGGATCGCATTGCTCTCTCCCAAGTAACTTTAGATCCATAAAAGTTCTTTATTTCTTTCATCAAAGTTAGCTCTTTCACCCAGTTCTATCGGTTGTTTTTCCCAGGATGATCATTGATGCCGAGAACAAAGGACTCCTTATTCCTGGAGTGTCAACCATTGTGGAGCCAACGAGCGGGAACACTGGAATCGCTCTAGCTCTTGTAGCTGCAGTCCGAGGATATAAAGTCGTGGCCGTCATGCCTTCCAGCTACTCGATCGAGCGCCGGATGATTCTCAAAGCCTTTGGGGCTCAAGTCATCCTCACAGGTTCTTTCCACACATTGTTTTCTTAGTCTGAGCGTTAACTTGTTTTGTGATGCCAGATCCTGCTCTAGGATTTGCCTTCTTGTTTGACAAAGCTCGAGAGCTAGCAAAAACACTTCCAAACGCGTGCATGCTGGATCAAGCCCAGAACCCATGCAACCCTCAAGCTCACTTCGATAGCACGGGTAAGATTTGAAAGCGTTCTTCGTTGCCTAACTTCATCAAAGTGTGTCTTTTATGAACTTCCAAGGTCCTGAGATCTGGAAAGACACGGCAGGCAAGGTGGACATCTTCATGTCGGGCTGTGGAACAGGAGGAACACTCAGTGGAGCTGGGAAGTATCTCAAGTCTCGAAACCCGGAAATCCAAGTCATGGCAGTGGAGCCGGCTGAGAGTCCAGTTCTATCGGGTGGTGTCAAGGGGCCGCACGGGATCCAAGGAATAGGACCAGGATTTATTCCAGACGTCACAGACACGAGCATCATCGATAGAGTGGTGACCGTCACTACGGAGGAAGCTCTTGATTGGACGAGAAGATTGGCGAGCGAGGAGGGCCTTTTGGTTGGAATCTCGTCCGGAGCTGCGTTTGCTGGAGCTATCAAGGTAAGCAATGCTTTGGTGCAGCATGTTTTCAATCCTGGTTGATTGTTTCTTGTTGTTTAGATCGCGAAAAGTCCTGAGAACGCTGGAAAGATGATCGTTGTGATACTTCCCAGTGCCGGTGAGCGCTATCTTTCCACACCTTTGTTTGCAGAGATTAGAGACGAGTGTGAGAAAATGGAAGTGATCTCAGCTTGATCTTGAGCCGAGAACTCTCGGCAACCTTTTTGCGAGATCGTAAGTTCTCCGCTAAGATGGTGTTAAGATGGTGCGATCCTTGTGCTGCAACAAACTTTAAGATTGGAAAGAAAACTTGGAGCAAAAGAAAGAACTTTGGTTTCGTTTGATCGTGTCCTTCCTTCACCAGAGAAAAGAAGAAAAAAGAGAGAGCTTTGGGAAACTTTCTGGCTATGGTGGCAGCATATTCCCTATATTCATGCCAGCCAGCAATGAAGAACATGGTCGCTATAGAAAAACAGCAGCTTTCCACCTGCGCAGACAAAAGAAGACTAGAAAAGAAAAGATCGAAGAAAAGAGAGTAAAGTTCACACAAACTGGCAGTAATCTGGCGACGATCAGCCTGAATTTGCGACTCCGTGTTAAAATCGTCACAGTCACGAGATTAAATTCGTGTCGACTGCCCAGGATTTTGTGCTCTTGATCCTTTGTTTTTGTCTGCTTGATTTGTTTTCTTGTGAAAAGAAAGAGAGAGTGAGAGAGAGAAAGAGAGAGAGAGAGAGAGGGTCTGAGCGAGCGAGCGAGGAAGAAGCAGCCATAGCCAAGTCCTTGCTTTGTTTTAGCTTCGCCCTTTTCATCATTTCGTGGCATTGTTTGTTTGTTTGTTTGTTCTTATGTTGTCTCGAGGGAGAAAAGAGAAAAATGTGAGACGAGGGCGATGATGGGTTGTGGATCTGCGTCATGAATTCGTGTTTTTGCGCTAGTGGGTCGCTGCTCCTGCCAAAAAATCCCCGCGGCCTTTGGTAGTTGGAGCGTTGTTGTGTTCTTGTTCCTCGCAGCTTTTACCTCGCTCGCTTCCAGCGTTCATTCATTGAGCAAAAGCTTTCCTCTCTTCTTTTTCCTGGTGCGAAGAAAGAGTAGAGTATCTTTGGACAGTCGCTTGGTTCTTTAGGAAAAGAATGCGAGTCTAATCTAAAGAGTGATCCATTCGTCATGGAAGTTTCTCCAGCGAGAAGAGCGACGAGGTGGAATTGGAGGATGGTGGCTGTGGTTTTCATTCTCGCGGGGCTCTTCTTGCAAGCTCAAAGCTGGACAGATCCCCAAGATGGTATGATCTTCCACTCTTTGTTTCAAGCATTTTGACAAGGTTGATGATCGTTGTTGCTTTCTCTTCCAGTATTTGCTCTCTCGGTTCTCTACGCTAGCCTGAATTCGCCACCACTGACTGGGTGGAGCATGAATCCCGTAGACCCGTGTGGAGAATTGTGGCAAGGAATTCAGTGTGCTGGCCCGAACATAACTGGAATGTAAGTCGCTTTTCTCTTTGAAAGTTCTTCCACTCAAGCTTTTGCTTTTGGAACTTTCTTTTCTCTTCGAAACAATCATTCATTGAATCGTTTCCATCCAAAAGTCGTCTCTCTGGACTGGGAATAACAGGATGGCTCGGCTACGCGCTCTATAACTTCACAGGTCTCCT